CAGACAGACAGACAGACAGACAGACAGACAGACAGACAGACAGACAGGAAAGGCGGCTGGGTAACGGCTACTGTACATAGATGAGGTTCTCTCTGAAACGCTTGCGAAGATTCTCCAGGAAGGCGGACTCGCTGGTGTAAGCGTCCAATAGCACAAAGTCCTGCACTCCGACCTTGTCTCTGGCGGTGAGCGCCCCTTCCATGTGCAGGCGGATGTGTTTCCTTCTCACTTCTTCTTTCTGTGGGGAACAGAGCAGCTCACATAACCAGCAGCTCACATAACCAGAAATGTCCTCGGCAGTTCATTTATCCAGAAACGTCTATCGTGAGTCTGGTGCTCGGCAGGAAACAGACGCTAAACCCTGAGACAGCAATGGGCTGAGATCAGACTGGCAAAGTATCCCGAGTACATACTTCCGCCGGTGTTTTTTACCATGCTTGTCCCATGCTTAGCTGTGTTTAGATTCACAAATACTCACCGTTGTGTCAAGACTGACCACAGCATTCATTAAGATAACACCGTATCTGGGTGTGTAGCCAATGCATGTGCACATGTGTACACACATGTATGTGTGTGTGGATAACAAGCCCTGGAGTCCAGGCCTGCAGTGGGCTACATGTATCTGTCTATAATGCTTTTATAGTAACAAAACTGAATGACGGTGCATTTCTCAGATCATATCTACCATTCAATACCATATGACATATATGTCTGTATATATGAATGTGTATGCATTTATATGTGTACATATGTGTGTTGTGTGTGTATATATGTAGTTCTGTGTATGTGTGTTGTGTTTATGTGTGTATATTGTGTGTATCTGTGTATATATATGTGTATGCATGTGTATATTGTATATATGAATTTATGTGTATGTATGTATATATGTGTATGTATGTGTTGTGTGCATATTGTGTGTATATATTTATATGCATATATATGTGTGCTTGAGTGTATGTTGTGTATTATGTGTGTATATGTATTTATATGTGTATGTATGTGTGTATAAGTATTGTGTGTATATTGTGTGTATTTGAGTATATTGTATGTGTATATATTTAT